GCTACTTGGCAAGGACCCTCTTTAAAAATAGGATTTATTCTACAGTTAAGAGCATCCATCTGCTGCTCTTACAGAGGAGGTGAATTCAGTTCACAGCACCCACAGAGTGGCTCACAACCACCTGTACCTCAAGTTCCAGGGGACTGAGCACCCCTTTCTTGGTTTCCATGGACCTTGCATTTACAGGGTACAATACATATCCAGACACACACATGCACACAAAGTTAATAAAGAAATCCTTAAGAAGAATTAACTAAAGATGATTTCTGTATCTCCCTTTATTTTTATTTGAGTAAATAACTTGACATTGTGACTACAGAAGATAAGGTCTTTCACTTCTGTAGATAGAAAGTGACTTAGACTTAAAATACCATGATGTCTCTGTCATCTAGTATATGAAAGAAAAAGTAAATTTATTGCCAGAGGTCTTTCTGGGTAATCACACCAACTCACGTTAGGTGGGTCACTTTTTGTGTTCTTAAAACACAGCCCAAATAATGAAATAGAGGTTTTCCCTGAACCTCTTCTGGAGCCACCTTAAGCCCATAGGCACAGAACTGAGAGATCAGCTATAACACTTCTTGTAGTTAGGCTCTGCCCTTGTGGAAGATAAAGGACGTCATCCAGATAGTGAACTAAATAAACCTGTGAGTGTTTCTTTTTAATTTTTTGTAAAGGCTGTATCTACACATTTTTGACAAAAGGTAGGATTATTTTTCATACCTTGAGGGAGGACTTTCTCATGATATCTATGATATCTATGGCTGTCTTATATTTGTAAAGGGAAGACTAAAGGCAACTCTCTTATGGTCTTAAGGACTTAAAGGACTTAAAAGAAACAATCCTATAAATCTATAACTATGACATTATCATCCCTAGGAGTAGCAGAAAGAGAAGGCAACCCAGGTTGAATAGTTTCCATAATCTCACTAATTTTTCTCAAGTCTTGTTTAATTTTTCTCAAGCCTCCACTTTCCTGATTTCTTTTAAATAACAAATATAGAAGCATTCCAGGGACTCTTCTGTATGTCCCTGTTGCAATTGTTCATTAACCAGATCTGTGGCCGCTTGTATCCTTTCTGCAGCCAGGGCCCACTGTTGCACCCACACAGGAGTCTCAGATTTCTAAGTAATGGAGTCAGCAGCTGTTTCAATAGTGGCCTCTAGGAAAAGGGTTTTTAAGGTGTTTTTTAAATGAGTAAAGGCTCTTTTTAATTTATTTCGTTTTATTTTATGCGCATCTGTGAGATCCCTTGCAATTGGTGTTACAGACAGTTGTGAGCTGCCATGTGGGTGCTGGGAATTGAACCTAGGTCTTTTAGGAAGAACAGACAGTACTCTTAACCACTGAGCCATCTCTCCAGGCCCTCTAGGAAAAAAATTTTATCAAAACCTAATTTCTGTCTATTTTGATCCTGTTTAAGTTCTATAGGTTCTGCAATACCCTGACTATTTTTCCCCAGTCCCTTATTGGGATCAAATTTCATTTGTGTCATTTGAGCAGCAACTTAATTATTTGTTCTTATTAAAAGAAACCCCATCTATTCCAAAATGTCTGAAAGGTAAAGATGGAATCACACAGGGACAAAAGAAACCCCAGGGTTTTTCGTCTGCCCATGTTAAAACATCAGTGCTTTTTGCTACATTGGCTGTTTGTCCTAGGCCTATTAAAGTTAATGGGGTATTCTGAGTTTTCCAAGAGGAGGGTCTGTCTTTTCCAGCAACACAGGAAACCTCAGCTCCTGTATCTATAAGATCTTCATTACTCTGTACCTTTAAGATTTTTATGGGGCACCCAGAATGCCATCTCACTAGATGCAAACCCCCGATTTCCTCTTTCTTTTGGGGAGGCTGCTCTTCCTAATGAAAGATAAGTAAGCAAAAGCAACTGTGCAACTCTCTGTCCCAGATGTATTTCTGTGGTTTGAGGGGAGAGGTAGGAAGGTAAAGCATAACCTTAATCTCTCCTGCAAAATCTGAACCAATTAGCCCTGGATTGACCTAAAATTCCTTGTGGGGAGATTGAACTTCTTCCTAGAATAAGTCCCATATACCTGGAGGCAGAAGGCCAAACACCCCCCAGTGGGTATACAAATTATGGGAGAATCTGGGATTAATATTGCTGAAGTGGTGGAGCTGACGGTCAATCCTGCACTACCTGGAGTGTCATGGAGGAGTTGTTGGACCCCTCTAGGCTGAGGGGGATCATATTACTCTCATTAGCAAGGCTAAGCATTTCTCCTGGAGCCATTATAGGAGGGAGCAACATTCCATCATATCTGGCACAGCATTCTCTTCTCCAGTGAAAGCCCTTTGACATAGAGGCTATATTGGTTTTTGCATATTAATGAAAGCTGTGTTTGTCTGTGGCATTCTGCCAGAGGCTGGGAGCTGTCCCATAGTGGGAATTCTTTTCTCTTCTTTCTTGAAACAGTTCCTACTAAAATATATTAGTTGGCCACATGAAAATCCTATTTTATGCCTTTCTTTTTGGATGTAGTTTTTCTGACCTTTTAAAAATTGAGTGGTGGTCTGTCCCTGCAAGGCTGCTGCAAAAGCTACTCTTTGTAAATGGGAAGGGGAGACCTCAGAACGTATTCTAACAAATTCATTAAGATCTCAAGACACACATGGTATATACTCACTTATAAGTGGTTATTAGACATATAATATAGGATAAATATATTAAAATATATACTCCTAAAGAAGCTAAACAACAAGAAAGACCCCAGGGAAGATACTCAATCCTCATTCAGAAGGACAAATACGAAGGACACCTCCCCCATAGGGTGCAGCCTTGCTAGGCCACAGAGGAAGACAATGCAGCCAGTCCTGATGAGACCTGATAGCCTAGGGTCAGATAGAAGGGGAGGAGGACCTCCCTTATCAGTGGAATAGGGGAAGGGCTTGGGAGAAGAGGGAGGGAAGGTCTGATTGGGAGGAGACAAGGGAGGAGCCCACAGCCAGGATACAAAGTAAATAAATAATAATAATTAAACTTTAAAAAAAAATTTAAAAGATCTCCTTATTTTCTAACTAGGCTTAGTGGAGTCTGGCAATCAGAGTTTGTGTTTTCAAAAGCCAGCTGTTTAATAATAATTTGTGCAACTTCATTCCAAGGAACCATTTTATTCACAGCTTCCATCAATAGGGATAAGAAAGCTTCAAAAGGTTCATTAGACTTTTGTCTAACATTATTTAATCCTGTTGTCATAACATCACAGAAAGGGCACCTTCTCCATGTTGCTACAGATATAGCTGAGCATTGGGTAAGAACCACTTAAATAAGACATAATTGATCTTTGGCCAGAATCCAGGCTCTGTTTCTTATTAACATATCCATAGTCATTCTAGTTCCTCTTCTTCAAACTTTTGTGAGGCAGTTTTGATTTTTGCTAATCCTTTATGTTTGACTCTCAAAAGCAAAGGTTTCTCTCAGTCAAGCATGACTTAGCAACCTGAAACCAATCCTACGAGGTCATCAATCTACTGGTCAGACTTTCCACTGAAGTAATTGTGTATGAGGAGGTGAATCCATAATTTGTAGTAGCCTGCTTAAGCTCTATTAAAAGTTTAAAGCGCAAAGCCTTCCATGAAGGTTCTTCATCATCTTCATCATCAAAAATAACATGAAAACAGCCAAGCTGTTCTCCTAACTGATGGGCTGGTTAAACAACACTCCCCCCAGCTTCCATCCCCAGTCACAGTGAAGAGAGAGAGATTTGGTTCCTTTTAGACTTGTTAGTCTGGGACTGGGTTTTAGAGAGGAGACAGATCTGGGTTATGGCCTCTTCCTCTAAATCTGTCTTTTCCTCAGGAGATTGGATCACTCTCATCTTCATCCTCATTGTTATAATTCTCAATCTTAAAAGCTTTATGAGAAACATAGGGGGATTTATTTTTAGTCTTACGATCTAATAACGCAGTATCTTCTCCATCTTCTTGTCCTGTAGAAGGGCAGGCCAAAGTATTCTTTTCTTGAAGCTTGCCTAAAAATGCTCCAATAAAGGAAAACATTATGGACATATTCTTAGGTCCATTCTTCTGATACAAAACTTGAATATCCTTTCCTAGTATGTCCCAGGTTTCTAAATCCAAAGTTCCATGGTCTGGGAACCAAAGACTACGTAGTTGCACAAATTTTAACAAAGCAGTCAATTAGGAAGTGCTAACTTTGATTCCTCTTTTCTTTAAAGTATGCTGTATTATATCTATGAAGGGTCATTTTTCTTTAGACTTATCATAGCCCATGACTTTTTTTATAGTTCTTGTCTTTTCACTTGATTTATCTAATCTATTTCTTACCCAGGGGCCTCCTGAAGCCCTTTGATGACACCCTACTCTCAGCACAAGTAGACTTACCTCTATGTGTTCCTGTTCTAGCACGTGAACCTTGTTCCCAGTGACTGTAAAGGGCAAGGAAGGTACTTTTGCAGTGCTATTGATGACTGCAGACTCACAGTTGAGAGAGATGTAGATGTCCCCACCATATTCCCCCACAAAAAAGTAACAGCATAGTTGGGAAGACCTCTTAAAAATTGTGATAAGGATTCTGAAGTGTAGCTATTCACAGTTGATGGCTTCTGGATGGGCTGTGGGTAGAAAGGACTCAGTTTTCTTTGAGGGGCTGACCACTGGGAGCTTGACCATGCTCCACTGAGTATATGGGCAACACAAATTGGATTTGTAGTTGTTTTGTTATTGTTGTTGTTATTGATCTTCTTCTCTCTTCTTTTGTGGGGTTGGGGACAGGGCACAAGGAAGGGTAGAGGTGATTTCTGTTAAATTTTTAGGCTAGTGCTTGACATACAAGACTTCCTTTCTGTGGTTAGTGTAACGCACTTGGTGACTAAGCTTAGCTGCTTGCTAATTTAGCGTACTGCAACACACAAGGCCCAAGCTGAAGTGGGATGTGATCCCAGTTAAATATTTCCACTGCACAGTATATGACAGCTGTATAGATTCTGCCAAATTAAATCACTTTGAAATCGGTGTTTCAGGTGAACCATCTGTTTCTTCTTCAAGCTACCATGAACTCTGAAGCTGGCAGGTCACAGGGCGATACAAGGAACTACCATTCTTCTCAGGTAGGTCTCTATACCCTGCTCTGAAATAGACACATAGCAGACTTGGCCATCCTTGGTCCTAGCTTGCATAGTCCTTCCTGCCAGGAATCTGCTTCTTTGTGTATTGTGAAATTATCTCCATTTACCTCATTCTTCCTCCTTTAGTGCATGGGACTGGAGAAGGGATTTGTAATTCAAGTTTAAGACATATTAAAGAAGTTTTTATTTAGGTAAAATTTATAATTTTGTCTAAAATAATAATGGTGATAAAAATCAAATACAATCTAGTAAGATAAACTTTGGGAAAATGAAATCAACATATTTCATAGCATGGAAACAGTCTGGGTATGGATGATCAGTTGAATCAGAACAACCCATATTATAGTACCTAAGTTTATAAAATAACTGCCTTGTGTATTGATTTTTACTGCGACCTTGTCAGGCAGTTTAGGAAGACTATGTTTTCCATCTGTTTATTGAGAGGAAGGAGAGAAAGAAGTTGCTGGGGGAAAGGGAAGAACTGAAGACTTGGGTAAGTTTCCTGTCGTGAAATCAGAGCTCTTTCTACCCTCCAGGCTCAGTTATAAAAGTGAGCCTTTTCTGAACCTGCAAAGCTCCTTGAAAATATCAGGAAGGCTGAGTACTGACAAGCATTTGAGAATGCCACTTCAAAGCCCCTGACTTGTTTCTTCTTATCCAAGTTCCAAAAATATAGACGACTCAAAAAGCTAGAAAACCAATGTCAAGCCTAGATATGCCTCTGTCTTACTCTATTACAGAGCAATAATCTAACAACTGCATACACTACTTCCCTTTCCCCTAAAAGTGTCAGGTCAAGCAAGACCTGTAATCCCAACACTCTGAAATCTGGAGAAAATAATTACATTCCAATGTAAATAATTACATAATTATGTCAGGACTCTATAATGTTCCAAGAAATAACAAAATAACCACAACACACACACCACATGCAGGGAAAAATATCTAAATTGCCCCAAATGTCTTTCAATAGCTGAAAATCACTTGCAGCCCTTCAAAAAGTGTGACAAAGGTGCTGCTGGTGACAGCATTCATACTGCAGAAATTTCTGGGCATGACTAGAGTCAATTTCTATTATCTTACATTCTTCTTAATCTCTACATCGGAGACTATTAGTGTTATTTCAAATAATAGCAAAATTCATCTTTATCCTGCTCTTCATTGCTGTCCTTATTATCAGTGTGTAGCATCGCTGGAATATGAAGCCATGACTGTTGCCACCATTTTCATGATAGCGTGACATAGGAAAAATGAATCACCACACTTGGTTCTTGAGTGAGTCCTATAAAAACGGGAGTTATGTACACAAAGTTTACAAAAAGAGAATGGGTAGATCAGAGGGAGACGATTAGTATTAGCATTCACATATTCGGTTTCCTCAGTGGTTATTATGTGATATTAGGGAAGGAACTTACAAGGATAATGTTCAGTTCCTCAATATGTTTACCAAAATGTCAGGGAGGCTGTTTTCTTTCCCACCTATTTATAAGAACTGAGTATTGATGTAATAGAGGATATGGTAGATTCTTTCATATTAGATACTGGATGACTAAAGGTATCTACTACCAAAAAATCACTATTTTTATAAGCAAATAATTAATTAAGTAATACTTTTTATTATCATTGAATACTTGGTACTAAATCATTGTACTGTGCTCTTTCTGAATTTAGCATTTTAAAATTAAGAGAATTTAATCCTGGCATAGTGAGATGCCCTTAAAATGCAGGAACTGGAAGCAAGAAAATTATAAGTTTGAGGCCACCAGGGACTAATTGGAGAGTTCCAGGAAAGCCTTGGTTACATAATAAAACCCTACAGCAGAAAAACAACAGACCAACATATGAATACAATTTCTACTGCAATATACCACTGTGCTTGGAAAAGATGAAAATTATATTGCTTTAAATAATAAACAATACCTAAATACCCCATCAGGAAGATTATAGATTTTAAAATATCTGTATATCACTGTGTCTTCCCTCTTTTTTTGTTGGGAAATGTATCATAGGCAACATGAGATTATCTGACTGATTTGATAGGAAGGAAGCTGAACTTGTATTTTGGATCCCAAGGTAAACTTGGACTCATTATACTCAATGGTCTTTTGAGGTTGGCACTGAGTTTCCCACAGAAATTTTGTGAATTGCACACTAAAAATGGAAACATTGGACTATATACCACTTTTTTTTTTTAAGGTTCGCAAAGAAGAGCAGAGTGATTACAATACCTATCAAATTAAGGTGGAACCTAGAAAAAGAGCAAATGATATAACAAACACACAGAACCAACAGGAATACTCACCTAAGAAATGTCGGCAACATCAGACCACTTCTCCAAATCAGAGAATTACCATCACCTTAGATGGAAATGACAAGGAAAATAAAAATATGAAACACCAGGCCACAGATAGGAAGACAGATAGGTCATATGAAGCACGCATCAGTGCCAATGCTGTCAACGAAGAGATAGAAAGTCAAAAGAGTGGGTGCATAAACTTTGGCTTGTCCCTCTGCTTTCCAGGAGTGGATATTACATTTTCTGAAACTAAAAGTGAAGAGAGTAAAGATAAGCAAGTGAGTGGTTGGCAGAACCAGGTATGTACTGACTGCATTGAATTTTACGTCTATGCAGTCGGGAAGAGGAATGAAAGGATCCTGAAGGATAGAGAAGAGGGGAACAAACTCTGTGTCCGTGGCTTCAAGGGAGAGACCATCAAAGACACTCTGAGGAAGGATGGCAGATTTTGTTCCTTTGTAGAGAGTGACCATTGGAAGCTTGTTAAAGACCTGGACATCGTCATAGAAAACACCCAGCTAGTTGATGAGTTAGAGGGCAAGCTCTTTCAGGTTGAGGTTGAGAGAAAAAAGTATCCTCAAGCAGCAGACTCCACTGATTTAGAGAAGCCATCTTACTGCACGTTAAAAGAATACATTGTGGATGAGTACCCCATGTTGAAAAGAGAATGTGAGAAACTCAGAGCATACATCAGGAAAGAGAGTGAAAAACCAACTAAGACTTCTTCATTTGAAATGCATAAAGCAAACTTCAGGAAACTGACAAAAAACTCCACCCCAGCTAAAGTGCTCAAACTTCTTTCACGGTTCAGTGACTCAGTTGGGCTCCTAGTTTGGAACAACGATGGAAACGAAGGCTGTGCCACCTGCTTCGTTTTTACAGGATTGTACATCTTCACTTGCCGGCATGTGATAAATGACATCGTGGGGAAAGACGTAGAGCAAAGTAAGTGGGCAGATACCATTAATCAATGTGCGAAAGTCACATTTGATTATGAGGAGTCCCTGGCAAATGAGGACAACTGCTTCTTTTCTGTTGAACCCTGGTTTGGGATATCTGATGAAACTCTTGACTACGCTGTCCTGAAACTGAAGGAAAACGAACAACAAATACCTGCTGGGTTGTATAATGGAACAACTCCTGTACCGTCCAGTGGGTTGATTTATATGATTGGTCAACCTGATATGAAACAGAAGCATAGTGATGGCTGTGCTGTGGTTTCTCTAGACGAGCACGCTCAGGAAAGAGAGGCCGCGGAAGACAGTGCCACTATGCAGTATATCCATATGTACACCCAAAGAAGCTTCCAGGAAACAGTTCACGAACCTGGTGTGCTTGCCCGTGACAACACTTTTTACTGTGGCTCTTCTGGATCTCCTGTATTCGATTCTAAAGGGTCACTAGTAGCCATGCACACTGCTGGCTTCATCTGTGAGTATGAAAGTGGTGTTTCCAGTATCATCGAGTTTGGCACGGCTATGGAATCCATCCTCACCGACATTAAACAAAAGCATGAAACATGGTATAATGAGGAATGTGTAAACCGACAGGATGTAGAAATGAATAGTCTAGATTATTGAGGAGTAGAGAAAATTTACTCTAGTTTCTTTTTCCCTTTAAAAAAAAAACAACTTTTATTCCTTGAAAGTCTCACACATGAATACAACGTATATTGATCAAATTCACCTACTGCCGCCTTTTCCCAACTCTTCCAGGACCCTAATGTGTAACTCAGTTTCACGTCTTTTTTATTATTTGCTTTTCATAAACTTCCTGAGTCCAGTTAGTAGTACTGCCGAGATGTACATCACTGTGTGGCCACCTACTGGGACATGAGCACCTACCAGCAGCCATGTCTCCAAAGGAGAGGGAGTTTCCTGGCATCATCGGCCATCGATTGTCAATAGCTCCTCAGACAGGGATCGTTTCCTGGGGGCCTCCCCTCATCCTTGCAGGAATCTTGATTGGCTTGATCTTGCCTCTGTGAGTCTGTGTCTGCAACATCCCTGCCATGCCTAGAAGTCAGTATTCTATAGGTCACCCCCCCCCCCCCGGGCTCTTACATTCTTTTGCCCACTTGTCCTCGAAGTTTCCTGAGAGAATGAGGGTTAATACAGATGACCCATCCACCCCTGAACACTCAACACTTGAACATTATTACAAGTCTTCTCTGATCAATGGTGAGTATAGCACAAATTTCCACACATATATCAGCTATTTTCTTCCGCTTTTTAAAAAATACAGGATGTTTATTAATTCTTTTAAACTCTAAGACATGCATACAATGTATTTGATCAGATTTACCTTCCTGTTCCTCTTCTTCTTCTTTTTCTTCTTCTTCTTCTTCTTCTTCTTCTTCTTCTTCTTCTTCTTCTT